TCAATTGGACCTGGGAACACAACACATGAGGAGAGTAAGAAATCTGAAGCTATCAGAACAAAGTGCTCTGTTAAACGGACGGGTCTCGATTTATTATGTCGACATTTTCCTACCATTTTCTACATAGTTTTTTTTTACAAGAGAATGGGACGTCTACCGAGGTCGACCGGAAAAGCGATTAGATATTAATTTGAGACTAGGAAGTAGACAAATAATAAAATCAAGGTTAAAGCCTTTCACGTAAGCTTTGCGTTTAAACGGCATCAGACTAACAAAAGAGTAAATATCAAAAGAAGAAAACCTCTTGATAGCAACCAATCATGTTTTTAATGTTTTTCTGTCAAGAGGCTTCTGTGAACCTCACAGTTCCTGAAAACAAGCGAATAGTGCGTTCGAAAAATTGTCGACAATTTTCTTCGTAACCAGCCTGGCCAACAGGCACGGCGTAAAGGAATGATGGCCTTGAATCAGACCTTCCCATTGTCAACTTATTAACATTTCGAAAAAAGCTTCATTTCTTCCTACCAGAATATCAGCTTGCAAAGCTCCATCGGTACCCAGTTGTTGAAAAACTCTGTACTCTGCTGATCCGTTAGCGACCATTTCGCTACCTTCGCTTGTCAATTTCACACTCTTCTCTGACGCATCGACCGTGGAAATCACCTGGAAGGACAAGAACATCACAGGTACTAGGTTCTGCGGCGATTTTCCTTGCCCAAGAAATCTAGGACGTATAAATCAAGGTTCCTTATTTCAGTTCGTCCAATCAACGAACGAGTTTCGAATAGAACTTATGTTTGAAATCAAGAACAATGTGAACAACGGATCCTCAACGAACTTCGTTTCTATTCTTCCCTCATTAATATCAAGTTACCGTAATTTTTTACTAATCGTACACCACGTACACGCTCCATAAGGGTAACAGATTCCGACATGTTTTCTGATATGTTGTAGTTGATGACGTATTCATTATTAGCGAAACGGTAATGAGAAACGATAGGCGAATACCGTTTGTTGAGTATAGAGTAAACTCACTACCATCATGAGTAGAAGACTTTTAACGCAACGCCAACAACAGCCTTGATGATCGATACCGCATGTCCCTGTCGATATTTGCACGTGATGAGTTCCTTAAAGTAAAGAAGAAAACAGTCTGAAAAAATAATGGAAATTCGAGAGCATAAACACTGAAGGCCGGCCTAAAAAAAGAGAAAACTGACATATTCGTAATCAGGGTACCAAATAACGCTATCTACAAGTCTACACCGAATTCGGTGAAAACAGCCGACGTGAAAGTGACGCCAACTGGCTTTGTAGTCATAACAAGGGTCTATTCCAGTTAGGGGGCATTGCGGCTCCAATGCCAGCTTGGCTCAAGGGATCCTTTGAAGTTGCCAAGTCCTATCAGCTTTTTCCTACGTTGTTTCTTCTGTTTTTGTATAATGTATGTGTTCTTGTGCTTTGTAACATTAAACGTCAATGAAAAGTAATATTTACTAGTGATCAGTTAGGACTAAGCCTAGGAAAAGGGAGAGGAATCCTTCCCCGAGAAAGCGAAGATTGCTCAAACCCGGGGTTTTCCTCCCTTCTGAAGCTTAGTCTAAACCTTTATACTAGGAGAATATGCTATACGTGGTTTTAAACTTGTTGAGCGCTCTAAACCCGCATGCCTCCCCTAACTGGAATAGATCAAGAAATAAATATCATATTCGTAATCAGAACATCGAATTGCCTCCACGATTCCCTTCTATATGCAAAGTGCGACGAGAAATTTGAGGTTTTGGTAGTACGAGTGAAAGAGTAAACACCATCATCAAACAAATGGAACCATAAGAAGTGAGGGTAACTAACATTGCCGTTGTCATTTAGGCTATGGAGAACGAACTGTGTTGCTCTTTCCACCTCATCCGCCGCCGTTGCCGAACTCATTTTGCCCAAGCGTTTCTGGAATGAGAATGCATGAATATTCTATTCTGCTTATAATATACATTACAGTGACAACAAAGGAAAACAAAAATGAATGTGAAAAGGAATTCGGAAATTGCCAAACCTCCGAAGGGGAGTTCCGTAGAAGTGCGAGTTACGCGATGTATTTGCAGATTTCAGCGAGACACCGTAGTATGATGTAACGTAATACACGGCAGCGTGATGTTACAATAGCTTGCCACAATCGGGACTAGCTCTAATGACGCGAGTCAGACAACATTCGCATTTGAGAGTTGAGAAAATGCCATGATTTGTTTATGGTATTGCTAAACAGAAGGTAAAGCAGATGATGAAAACACCATAACAAGGAACCAAGTGCGGACAACATCATCTCCTGTCTAGCGTCTATCCTGCGTAGTCGCAGAGTACGCTGTCTTTAGAAGAGAAAAAAAAAACTCCACAATGAATTCCAGCTGTGAGATGAGAAAGATGGACACCCAAATCCGCCCACAATCGAGTCGAATGTATTTGCTGGTAGCCAAAAGCACCGTCCAACTAAATGGTATTGAAATAGCTATGAAGCGAATGGATTGGGAAGCTCCATCCTCATTTCTCGACTTCCTAAGTTCCTCCACTAGTAACGTATAATGCGGAACAAGGTTCCTGCACCAATCAGCTATACCATTCCCAGGTATTTGTTCTTCGATGGCAACGTGGGTACAGCTAGTCATTTTCGCTAGTTCTATGTATTATACAGGGTGGTCCAAAATTATGAGGACCGCGTGCGCGCAGTCATATCCACTTTTTTCCGTATCGCTCCATTTTTATCTCGTTTCCTGTGCACTATATGGGCCGTATGCTGAATGTTGGGTAGGGGACGGGGATGGGTGAACGTTGGGGAGGTTCGTCGCAGGACCCTTCTGGGCAGCTGTCGCACCTTCAATATTGCAGCTCTGTTTGTATTCTTTCATCGCTGCTTTTGGTATGAAGAAAGATATTTACGTGCGAATATACAATCAGAAACAGTAAAAGGGTGAAAACAAAGCTGCAAAATCAAAGGTGCGACAGCTGCCCAGAAGGGTCCTGCGACGAACCTCCCCAACGTTCACCCATCCCCGTCCCCTACCCAACATTCAGCATACGGCCCATCGCATACGGCCATAAAGGGTACAATGTTTTCTTCCTAATGAAACCCAATTTACCAGCAATTTACCAGAGCACCCAAGAATAAAGCAAAAATTCTCCCGATTTTTCGAGTTCGTTGCTTTCGAAGAATTGTTACAATGGAACCTTCCACCTAATAGCTCTAGATTTCTGTATTTCACACCCTGGATGCAAGCGCAAATAAATGCCCACAAAAGTTTGATTCCCTGAAGAAGGCAGAGCAGAAGGCCTGGAAACATTTGGACACGCCTCAGTTGCGTGCCACCGCACGCGCCATCCCCTTCATCTGAAGGCTCGTTAAACGGGGCAGGTGGCAGATCTCAATTCTATTCTGGAATTACTTTGAGTAAGAGTTACAAATACTTCCCTGAAGTTGGTTTGTTCCATCAAGCTACTATGCGTTTTTAACGACACAATGTCTTGGTCCTCATAATTTTGGACCACCCTGTAGACATCGAAATGAATGGGTCAGAGCCTTCCCTCACTCATCCAATGTTCACAATTTGGAGTGAACTCCATGTTCTCCGCATTTCCAACTCTCGGCCCAAATTTTTGAATCATTACTGATTCTGTCAGATAGGTTAAGCGCTGTAGACGCTTGCTCCGCAAATGAAAGCATGAGATTTAGTTGCGCACTACCTTGTTTTGTAAACCGTGTCATGCGAGCGCGCATCTTGAAGGCAGGATTCACGATGAAAAGTTAGCTCATTTGAAATAGGCTTAGAGGTGTTCAGTGGAGCACGAGGAAGAAAATTTTGAAACGGCCTGAAATCTGAGAAATGGGACCACTCGTCACGTATAGAGCTGCGGCGAGTGATTAGATAGTCGGTGGGCGTACCCCGCCAACCGCGCCAAGAGTGAGCCATGCTAGATCGCCGAGGTCAAATCTTTCGCTGCCAATTGCGCGTCGGTCAGCACCCTCAGGAGGTCCGCCTGTCTCCCAACTATGCAATTTTCCCCTTCTTTGACCTTCGTTCTTATCGTGAATTCCTCCTTTAGTTTCAGGGTGTTTCGAGATGGCTGAAGGAGCGATCGAGGGAGGACCCTCAGAGCAAGCCGAGAACAGCGGCCTGGGCTCATCACGGCATCAGCTTCCTTGTCGCACATTTCCAAGCCGCGATAGCACCACCACCCCCGTGATTAGGGAGACGTTCATTTCTCCTCCTGGGTCAGGTCACCAGAGCTGCGCGAATATTGAAGCCTGAGGTTAGGCTTGGGTTTAGGCTTAGGCTAAGAGTTATTACGGGCTAATCAGAGGTGTCCTTTTCTGAGGTGACCTGTTCTGAGGGGGACAACTGCAGCGCACCCCTTGATCAGGGGTTCTGGTACTTCACTGTAGGAGAGAATCTTTCCGAGGATCCAATCGCGATCCCTACCTGTGAAGGTGCCACCCTTAAGTCCTGTACGCCCTTTGATTGCTGGTAATTGGCTCTTTCCTGGAAACCATGCATCGATGCTCAGTTCTGCTGAACAGGAACATAGCATTGAGACAGTGTTGATGCAGTGACAGCATGACCTGCAAAATGTTGTTGGGTGTTAGAAGTAGTAAGTAGCGGTAATATTCAGCTTAGGCTTCCACAAAAACGATGTTGGTCTTCCCGCCCTACAAGCTCTACTCCACAACACAACCAGTAATCCACGTTGCGTCCTCTTTCGAGATGAAGGAGGGTTTGGGAACCATGGAGAGGTTGCCCGATCGCAGGCCAGCAATGGGCCCACGCAGTTGGAGCCGTAGCCTTTAGGAAGTTGTTTATCACTCACTTAGTTGGCTAAATTATGCACCTGCTTAGCGTAGTGGGTGAGAATCTGATCCTCCCAAGGTTTTAGGCTAGCCTCCAGGACAAGCGAGATACGATGTTAGATTGGAAGAAAAGCCTCACTACATGTTCACCCTTTCGAATTTAATGCTTTTGTTATTTGGTGGGTCAACCAGATCAATCGTACCATTTTGAGAGATCCCTCTTTCTCTGGTTCACAGCTGGCGGCAACTGCGTTCGATATGTCCGGCAAAGGTTTTTGCACTGGTGTCGGAAATCGTGATTTCAGGTCACGCGCCTTTCCGTGACGAGCTATCGTGAATGTCTTTCAGTCCATTAGGTGATTATGAAGGTTCTGAGTGGAATTCAACGCTCTCGCGATTGCTTCCAATTCCACAAAAACTCATCTACGATGAAGGTATTGCCGCTTGATGCGTGGAAAGCAGGTAAGCCAGGAGTGGAAGGAAAGGCCATGAACGTGAACACCTTTCCTCAACTTTCCTGGATAGAATTGGCTCCATGCTTCTTCCACATCGAGGTTTAAAGGCAGCGATCACGATAAGGAGGAATCGCTTTACTGGGCTGCCGAGGAAGCGAGATGTGGCACTTCCACACGAAAGGTGCGCTGGTTGCTGAGCAGGACTTCGAAAGCACTCCGCCCCCAAAAGCGATCCGCCCACTAGTTTAGTTGGTGATTTGGACGAGCTGCGTTGCCAGCAGCGGCACAACTGGAGCAACTCGATTGGAGCGTGGTTTGGCATGGTGCCACCAAACGCGTTGCGGTGAACTCGTTCATACGTCCGCTTTCTGAGCTGTTACCTGTTCATGAGTGAAAAAGAACGGCCAAAAAAGGGGTCCCGTTTTGCGTTTTCTTGACGGATTTCTCAGCTTTTTTCGCCACTGCGTACCATTGAGCACCATCACGTCTCCCTGAACCCTTCTCGAATCTATCGTAATCGCTGCCTTCTAAAGTACACACGGACAGATAATTCTGATGCACATGGGAGCGGTAGTGGAAATTAGCATTGTTCAGAAGGGAATGGTCAGCAATTCAGATCTTAATCGATTCTCTTCGATTTAGCTATACCTACTTCCCAAATATACAGTTTTAAGTTGGTGTTGTTATGTTGTTCTTGCGGCTGGAAGATGTGCGGCAAGGACTCTTGCACCGCACCTGTTGCATAGGATCCGAGGCTCTACGCAGTGTAGTGTCTGCGCCTCGCTTGTCCCATATATTTTCGTCTCTGTTATCGCCACGACACCCACTGATAGATTCCAATTCGTTCAACTCCAGAGAAAAAGCCTTCAAGTTCAGTGTATCCAAAGTTTTTCTTCAATGGCGGTCCATTTTGCACGTTGAACTTTATTTCCGAGCGAAACACATAATTGCCCGTGGATTGTGCTTCGAAGGCAAGCCCCAGGATAAAATTGGTGTGGGAGAGCATTGGACAGTGAATTTGGGGTGGTGAGTGACCTGAAAGAGGAAAAGACAGGAAATGAAACCTCGACCTCGCACCGAACAAAGCCCCCTTTATTCCAGCCGCACTCCACCTTGTGATAGAGGCGCGTTCATACAAGTTTCACAGACGGCTAGCTCCAGTTGCTCCAGTGCCAGTTGTTGGCTAAACTGCCGCAACTGCGCGCGCTATTTTCGTACGATGTGGACTGCTGGTTAAGCGAAATTCTAGCGCCTCTGCCGCACTTTCAAGCCACAAAAGGATCACAACATCGATTTTTTTGCCTGTACCGCAACCGGGAAGGAACAGGTGAGCGTACCCAACCCTAACTTGCTATTAACCAAGTTTCTTTTATTGCACAATGTTATAAAGCTTCCAATAGTGGTAGAACGTAGTAACGTTTTCAAGGGCTCCCACCACTTTCTTCACGATTTGGGGCGCGGCCGCGGCGAGCGCGGCCGAGTTGATAGTGCCCGCGAACTGTGCTTATGGAGTGTTTTCAAACCTACCCGTACACTTCGCAGGCACTACCAACCAGGGTGAATATGGTAGAGGAAATCCTCAACAGGGGAGTCGTACTCGTGGGGGTCAGTAACGTCAGTGGCATCGTGGTGCAGATAGGAGG